AGTTGGTGAAGAGCTGAATCGAAAATCTAGATGCTGTTTAGTTATAGGATTTCATCAAGAGGTAACATCGATTAGAGAACCACTATTGAAAAAGCGATTTCAGCTCGTGATGAATTCCTGTAACCAATCAATCAAATCCCTACAAACCAATACTGGAATATCAATAAGATGCTCACTAGTAGGTAGGTAGTTACCTGGGATTTTAATGGGAAGTCGTGACCAGTAGGGCAAAGCAAGTCGGGTGTAAGGACAAATACTCGCCACGGAGGACATTCGCTATTGGTCTGTGAATTAGCAGGAGTTGGAATTCATGAACTGGCCGTTGGATGGGATCCTAGTGGCTATGAATGGTCTACGAGCTAGCTTGCATTGTAACCAGAATGTCCTGTGTTCGAATCCCGGTGGGTGCTTATAGCCAAATAGTCCCACTGCTGGCGAAGCAGTTGTTCAATACTCCCTGCAGGTTTTCCAATGCTTCTATAACTGATGTCAGATCATAATGAAATCCCGAAACCAATCAGATCCCTACAAACCAATACTTGGATACTAGATGTTATTTATTCAAATATTACCATGATTGAGTTTCTCATTTCACTTTCAGTCTCTTCATCACTTCGATGCTAACAGTAACTTAGATGATCAAACACTAACAAGGTATTTTATTACATAATTTTATCATTTCGAAAGTGATTTTCTGGCTTGTTCAATGCTTTTAAAATACTTTTTTTATATCATCATTTTGTGGTATACTATGAAATCTATCTAATTTACATTCAAAATCATTGTTAATTTTTTTCACCCACCTTCTTTTCAGTGATGACTTGTCCAAAAGCTAATTCTTCAACTGGAAATTAGACATCTCTAATTCTAAGTTACTTTGGAATAACTGACTATTGAAATAAGTCAGTGACACGTATAACGTATATATAAATATATGAATGTTAATTTGTTCATGTCTACATATTTATATGCAAATTGATGGACAAGTTTTGCTATTCACAATGTTTTGATGAGCACTATCATCAAGTGTGAAAAAGAATTCACTATGAATATATATATATATATATATATATATATATATATATATATATATATATATATGAAACGTATTCACACATATTTTGTATTAGAAGAATAACTATAAGCTCTGGTATAGAGGAATGACGTAATAATGTCATTCTATCAGTGAATTGATGCTTTCATCATTCTTCTTGTTGCTGTCCTAAATTTCATTGTCACTTTAGTCTAAGATTTTTGTTTATTTCAACTAACAAAAAAATGGAAAGTTAAAATGTGTTGAGTTTTCAACAGGAGATTTTATTCTAAATTTTGATTTTCCCTAACTTGCTTAAACTACACTATAAACAATAGTACAGGGGGGGGGGAATTGTTCCTGCACTTGCTGTTTCTTATCATCTTCGAAACAGAAAGGGATATACTGAACAAAGGGTTTTGGTTTTGAAGAGATTCCACTGATTGCAAGACTCATCACGAACTGACTTCAATTCAAGAACTCCTGAAAACCAGGTAAAGCTGTTTCATCCTTTTTTTGAGATTGTTCAATGGTAGACATTGATGATCCTCGGGTTGCAAGGCAAGGCCGTTGGCCATTTAGCCACTGGGATGAAGTCCAACGGTCCATGAGTTTCAACTTCTACCAGTTCGCGATATATGCAGCAGCAGCAGCTGTCCAGTAATCCATGGTTTGCAGGAGTTCTCTGGCTGAAGTCAATTCGTGGTCAGTTTTTAAACAGTCATTTCATTATCGTCAATTTCGGTGTCTGTGGTGTATAAAGAAACTGTATGCATACATGGTCGTATTCAGCTTAATGGTTAATAGCTGTATAACAATGTTTGTGAAAGGCAATTTTTGACTTTGCTTAACTAAGCTTGACAGAAGACTAGAGAACATTGTTGCGCTGCCTTACCTAATTGTCTCCAAGTTTTATAACAGTATACATAGCCCAACAGGCATGTTTATTAATATCCAATGATCATCGGTCATGAGGTTCTGTTAGTTTTGTTAGATCACGAACTATTCTCAATGCATCCTGTTAATACTAGATTCAAGTGTTGAAACTAAAAAATTCTAACTGGTAAGATTACTCAGGTATGCCTAACGAATTACACAGTTCAGTGTGAGAATTGACCATGATGATTTCCTCTAGAGATCAAAATATTTAGATCTGCTCAGTACCAAATTGAGAAAACAGTTCATCCAAGTAATTAACTGGAATTCGGGGATGGCAGGGTAGGGAGTGGGTTAAACTGATTCATCCCTTTGAGCTGAATGTATCCAGGTGCATGCACTGCTGATGGCATCGGTCCCTGACTAGTGAAACAAGCATCCAGTGTTTAGGTAATTTCGGTCTGGCTAACAAGCACCCCTGTTTGATGTGAGTGATTTCCAACTACTTATATAAGTCAATAGTATATAATAGAAAGTTATAAGAATACAGTGGTTAGGACTGTCGCCGACCATGCACATGGTCCGGAGCTCGATCCCCAGCCGACGCACACCTGATATCAATGGTCGGCCTGCAAAATTGGGCTACCGATATCACACGCTGAAAATTCCATACCTGTATCAAAAACACGGTGTGGAATCAAGCTGTGATCAAAAATATAAAAAAAATAAAAATAAAAAAATTAACACAGTATTATTTTGTATTTGTGTTTCAGTTATTTGACTTTAGAATAATTTGTGGGCACTACACTAACTTGTAGATAGTTCCCACTAAAAGAACCTATCAGGCAATCTGGAATTCAAAGTGTCGGATAAGCACTAGATAGCCTTAGTTTCATTTATAGGTTTTTATTAGTAAAAAACTCTTAAATATTCAGGTATATTCCGTCGACTTCAGCATGATTCATTGTCTAAAAAAAACAAATTCTCAAAAAGAAATAAATAAAATCAGTTCATACTGTCTTTTGTAATTTTGTAAACACTACGTCGAATCTGTAAGATGTATTTGTTCGTATGAAAAGAAAAACCTTTCAATGTATCGATCATCTGTGTTATTTCACTTTTTCTAGAATTGAGTTTAATCTAGACACACTACTGATATGCTTGTAATTTGGCCACTGATCTAGAAGACTCTCCATCGTGGTGAACTTTTATCTTGATGCTAAGTGGTAGGAGGTAATCACAGTAGGAAGCCTTGGATTTAAGTTTCATGCTGACTGACACACGTAGACACAGGGCTTATCTGATACTTCAAGGGATTCGATGTACCCTTTTATATACAAACTGGAGTCATTAATTAATTGCAGTCCAAGACGTTATCAGTCTTATGGATATATCGTGAAGTTATCTAAAATCTAAAAGTTTATTGGAATGTTATAATGTAGTAGCTTCCGTTTTGCGTTCAGCTAAATTTAGAACTTGTGACAGGTCTAGAAGTAACCCTTTCTGTTCCATTACCTTATATCTAAATATCTACGACAAGTACTTGTATGATCGGAATGTTCGAAATGCGTTATACAAATACACATTCATTACACATTTCAGATAAATTAAATCTTCTTATTGTGTTGTTGAAATTTATAAAAGGAAGTAATTGTCATAAATTTTAATCCCATGTATTACAGAGTTTATAGTGAGTCTGTCTGTCTGTCTGTTTTCGACATAGAACTTTGCACAAATGTGCGGAAGTTCAAGTCGCCACATTCCGTGTAGCACGCGAAGCAAGAGAAGAAAGTACAAGAAAAGCATAATAGAAACAGTGAGTAGAGGTGTGAGACAAAGGAGTAATAAAGAAATACAAAACAGTTTCATTGAAGATCATAAGTCACAGGGAGTGGATGCATCTGAGCCACTGAGAACGGTTTTGAGCCATGTCACCAATTGTTTCCAACCATAGATTTTTACCGTCCCGAGGACCCCAGCCTGGAAGTCTACACCTTCCTACGTGGCTTAGACCAACTGTTGTGGATTTCATTGACTGGTGCAGCCAAGTTTTTGTTTGACCGCCGCTAGCTTTTTTCCAGCCTGACCCTATATCCGCTAACATAGCTCGTTGAGGGAGGCGATGACTTGGCATACGTAACACATGTCCTAACCATCTCAGTCTTTGTAGCTTCACGACTTCGTCGATTGATTTCCCCTGTTTACCTAGAACTCGACGCCTAACCTCCATGTTGCTCACCTTATTATGCCACTTTACACGGGAAATAGAACGCAGGCACCTATGATCAAACACAGCTAGTCTTTTCATGTCTTTCACTCTCAGTGGCCAGGTCTCACAACCATAAAGGAGGACGGAGCGGACTGATGAGCAGTACACCCGCCCTTTGGTCGATAGTCGAACATCTCGTCTACGCCAGAGTCGGCGTAAACTAACAAATGCGAAACGAGCCCCTTGTATTCGTGCTGAGTGAGTGAAGAAACTAGACAACATAAATACATATTTTCTCCCTAGTCATCGGTCAGTGTACCCATTTCAAACCTTGGTTAGGATTAGTCTCACACTGCATAGCTCAACAGTGGCTTCTCTAACTGTATAACTATGTGACTTTGGTTCAGATATTAGTGAGAAAACACCAGTTTCTTGAAGGTTGAAGATATGCTATGCCAACAATAAATACGGAGCCTAGGTACATGGATTCTAACTGATTTCCTCCAACCATCTAGTAGAGAGAGAGAGAGAGAAAAACTACCTACTATTTCTAGCACTTTGGCTTTACTAGTGACAATCAATATCTAACGTTGTATATACTTTCAGTCAGCAATTCATATGATGCTATTTTCCAGTAGACTTCCCTATGACATTTCTGCTATTAGGTGTTTAGTATAAACATTTTGAATTCTAACTGAGATACAAATGAGGTTTTATGAGTCCATTGTTCCTATTTTATTGCTCTCATCCCAGATTTAAGGTATTACAAGCCCTTTCATGAAAATAATCAGTACAAAAATTAAAGTTGTACACACAAATTTGTAAATAGCCTGAAAAAATGTAATTCAAAGTCCAGATTTTCAATAAAGAAAGGACACTTACTTAAACTGGTAGCATTGGTCATTGTAGAACTAATCATTATATTCGTCGAAGATATTGCTATTGTTGCTTCTGAAATGGTAGGAGACAAATGACCGAATTTTGATGTTGTCGGTATCACTTGGGAAGACAGGAAGATAGGAGTCTCAGGTACAGTGGAATTTAACCGATTACTTGAATCTGAACTATCATATTGACTGGATCCCTTCAGTTGACTTAACTGGCTTTTCATATCACTTCTTGTCTCACAATCAGTAATCTTTTGTATACAGTTCAAAGTAGTAGTGCCTGATAATTCACAGGCATTTATAGAATTAGAAAATGTGTTAAAGGACTTTGATTTCAACTCCATTTTCATAGTATCCTTGACAGATGTGTTAGAATTTGTAAGGATAGCTAATAAATCCATTTCTGATGAAGTCTTGATTATCGATGATGATGATGATGATGATGATGATGAAGGAATCGACAATGTTCCAGGATTGCAATAGTGTTCACAACATATTAAAAATCTGTCATTATGTACTAGGTAATATTGATCGCCTGTAGTAAATTGTTTTTCACAAACTGCACATTGGAAACAATTAATGTGATAAACATAATGACGTGCAAATCGAACCAATTCTCCATTACGAATTATTCGATGACATGCTGAACATTTAGGACCGAAATTTCTGTAACAAAACAATAATAACAGTTATTCCTATGATTTTGTACTCAATTGGTTACTAGAATATGGATTTAAGGTTTTAATTAAAAGTTTATGTATGCAATATTATATTCTTACACTTGGTACTGTTGTGAGATCGATTTCGTCACACACTTTTGAAAAAATATGAAATGCATTAATAGGAGAGGTTTCTGGTCACCCATTTTCACCTAACCCTACCTCTAAATACTTATTGGTTGGTGATCATTAGTTAAATTTGACAAAAAGTCATCAGGACACTAAAACAAATATACTGTACGATAAAAATTTTTTATAATACATTACGAGTTGATCACGGATTGATATCAGTTAGAGAACCATTAAAAACCAGCAAGGAGTACTGCCAGAGAGCTGTTTCATCCTAGTTTGGGAATCATCGGCAGTACGCACGACAATGGTTGGGGTCACGCTAAATCACGAATTGGTAGAAGTTGGAATTCATGAGCCATTGAATCGGGTCCCAGTGGTTGAATGGTATACGAGCTTGCCTTATAACCGGAAGGTTCTGGGTTCGAACTATGGTGGTGGATGAGTACTTCCGATGATTCCCAAACTGGGACGGAGGAAACAGCTGGCTGCCCAGTACTCCCTGTAGGTTTTCCAATGGTTCTCTAACTGATATCGATCCGTGATTAACTCGTAAAAACATAACTAACCCTTACAAACCAAACTATAGAAAATATAATACATTAATTTGATACGTGTTAGAAACTTCTAATGTGCATTTGTATACAGTATTTGTAATTTGGGAGTATTACCGTTTCATTTTAATTTATTTGAAAGGTTGATATTAATGAGTACTCATAGAATTTCTGTGTCAACTTTCTCTCAAAAAGAGAGAAGTTAGAAATTTATTTATCACTGGATTATCATTCAGTGAATGAATGGTCAGTGGGCTCTTCGTCATAACCTATAGATCCTACAAGCCTGAACTAGAGGTGGACAGCTCTATAGCGAATCTTGATCTTTGGTGCTCTTCTAACTGATATCTCAAGGTGTATTTTAATGAATTATAGACTTTTTCATCAGGTTTCGTAAATTTTGTTTTTTGTAAATGCGACCTAAATGTTCCATTTATACTGTGGTATTATATTAAGATAATATGTTCAGTGCGTACTTAAAACCATATCTATTATTCTTATTTATATATAGGACTCCGATTCTTCCTCAATGAAATCTATTAAATTTAGTAGCATTAATACTTACCTGGATCAAATAATAGAATTTCTCTCATATGGTTAGATGAAATCCGCAGGAAGCTTTCGCAATTGTTACCCGTCGTTAGTAAGCCTTATCCCTTCTGAGATTCAAATTCATGTCACTTTGAGGTCACAAGTACGCCTTGCTAACGAGACCAACAATCCCGAAATCTACATCTACAACTTTCTGCTGACTGTCTTCAACCTTCTACTTTCAATTCAGAATGTGCCATGATGGTGAGCTTGTTCATCATAACAGCTCAAACCTGACTGGCAGAATTCTGTTAACACTAACAAAAAACATCAGAAGCATAACAGTGGTTACTTCTCAACGCCCAATGAATGCCATCTTCTTTCTATTCTGTCTACAAATTCACTTCTTGAAACATTCAAAATGTAGGAATTATTTGATCACGAATCTCTATCTAGTCTAGGCTGATATCCTTTTGTTTTCTCATGTTCAGAACTTGAAAATATTGTTTTTAAAATACTTCGAAGAGACAATAAACATACGAAGTGATTATAGTATCTTGTATAGAAATAATGAATGAGTTATTTTTCTAACATAACTGATTAGTCGCTTGAAATGTATTCTGAAACTCTCAACAGCTAGCTGCAAGACTCCAGTGGTTCTCTAACTGATGTCAGCTCATGATGAAATTCTCCATGTAATCAAACACAAAAATCCCTACAAAACCAATACTTGAAAATTAATCTGATGCTCACTAGTGACTGGCCCTATTCAGGCAGTTAACCTAGGATTCTAGTGGAAATTCGTGACCAGTAGGGTACAGCAGGTCGAAGATGAGGTAGTAAATCATTGAAGAAGACATTATAAAATGGTCACAGTATGTCTTGAATTGGCAGAAGTTAGAATTCATTGGTTGGCCATTGGATCGGGTCCCAGTGGCTTAACGGTATACGAGCGCGCCTTGTAACCAGGAGGTCCTGGGTTCAAACTTCCTATGGTGGGTGCGTACTGATGAAAAGTCCCAAACTAGGTCAGGGAAACAGCTGTCCAGTACTCCCAACTGGTTTTCCAATCGTTCTGTAACCAATATCAACTCATGATGAAATCCTCCATGCAATCAAACTGCAAGACTCTCACGTATCTTTAAAGAGATATCAATAAACATATATATCTATATCATCCCTCTTACTTGTTCAGTATTTAATTAACTAGAAGTATCTAGATATTAGGTTCACCTGTCTTTCCTTCGTGTCTACATGTTTGACTGGAGAGCAGAGTTACTAAATTTTAAAAAATTATTAGTGTTTTCCATTACTGGGTACTTACAAATAGTGAAAATAGTATACATAGAAAAAGCAAAATAATTTTACTAGTGATATTTTATGTAAGAATAGAATTCAACCACTAAGGTAAAATTGAATCACTATTTAATATGTAATACTATTTCATCTCATGGTATACTTAACAGACAAATACTCTGTAATTTAAGAACAACACAGAATGGTTTGCTTCGGTTACTGATTTTTAATTATTTCTCTTTGACATACCTTGACTTCTAAGTTATAATCCCATGTCTTAGCGATTTCTAAAAGAATACTTCGTCTGACTTTTTACATTAAGAAGTTGAGGCACTCAGGCACAACTCAACCCCTCCTCCTCTTACAGTTTGTCAATTCGCGCATCTTACCTATTCTTCTTTACTGTTCACCCCTGCTTATTCTTTCCTGGATTGCTTAAAACAAACTATGTCATACTTCATAGAACTCTGAAGACTGTCAGTAGGGCGAGTGGTATCCCATTGGGCCATATCGTTGACATCGTCATTGATAGGCACTTGATTTCATACAATAAATTTGCTGAAAGAATTTTGTCAAACTATGAGCATCCACTTTATCCACAGCTCCAACCTTGTGCCTCCTCCTCAGGTAAAACAAGCAGTCTTCTCAGAAAACTTTATGCACGTACGTCTAAGTATAAAAATTCCACTATACGATATTTAGCACATACTCTATGTGATCAAAATAGTGTCAGGCATGAACTAACTAACCTTCTTTGTACTACTAAATAAACCATTTCTTCCAAGCCTACAGTACCAAACTTCATTGTTATTGTGTTTCTTATATTTATAATCCTCTCAATTTTTTGTTTTTATTTATTTATTTTCCAAAAGTGTGAACATCGTTTAAGCTTTGTTACCACTGTTAATCTTGTATTTCCCCTCACTATAGTATATCAACAGAACATTAGATTCAATACTCTAAAGTAACATGTCAAACTGAATCGACAATACTGTTTGAAACAAACTCACTGTTATTATTATTATTATTTTATTTAATAATCTCAATTCGTGATTCGGATATTTTTGACTTTATATCGTAAACGTGGACAAATTCCTCTGGTTAATTTTGTTTTAATTTTTAATTTTATTTATACTTTATGTAAATCAGATGCGAGATACTGTGACAAATGCTGAGAATTCCATTCTGTATTATAAATACTGTTTTTGGAATAAAGTAAAAAATAAATTATTAAATTATTTAAATTTACAGTGAAATTATTCCTGAATTTATCTTCTCTTTATGATAATTATTAATACATTTACCAGAGACTGTTTATCTCGGTATGAATTGTAGCCCACATTACTAACCTTTCACACTGTGTTACATGAAAAGTGTATTGAGGTGGTAAGTATATTCTAGTGGTTATTTGTCCCTATGTCACACGATAATTAAATCTTTTCCCCTTTGAGGTTAGAATATTTCCGAGTTAAATGGCACGAATGTATGCCTGCCTTTCATTTGATCAAACTAAATACTCCTATTTTAAGAACTAATTAACATGTCTCATGCATAGTACAGTTTTTAATGGCAATAATTGGAATTCATTAACAGTTTAACTGTGATATTTTGCTGCTTCAAATATTACAAAATGTAACCAAAGGCATTAATTAAATTGAGAAACTCTATTTTTGTTTGAATAACTGAATTGACAAATTTTGTAGTTTATGTAGTATAACATCAGGCTAGTAATCCTCAGACTGTTGATTCTATTCATGCAAAGATTCTGGTTTTTCATTCCACCTCCAGTCATTAATGATCACATCAATAGTATTCGCTAACCCAGAACTATCCTAGATGGCTTCACAGTCAACTAATGAAGATGTTTTCAAGAATTGGTTTGTAGGGATTTTGATTGATTGGTTGAAGAATTTCATCATGAGCCGATATTGGTTAAAGAAGCATTGGAAAACCTGCAGGAAGTACTGGACAGCTGTTTCGTCAGCCCATTTCAGGGCTCTTTAGCAGTACACACACACACCAGAGTTCAAACCCAGGACCTTCTGGTTACAAGGATTGGGCTCCAGTGGCTTAATGATCCCCGAGCTAGCTCGCATTGTAACCAGAAGGTCCTGGGATTGAACCGCGGTGGGTGGGTACTGCTGAGGAGTCCCAAACTAACTTGGCAAAATATCTGTCCAGTACTTCCTGAAGGTTTTCCAATGGTTCTCTAACCTATGTCAATCCGTGATGAAACCCTCCAACTAGTCAAGATATGCTTGAGGTTAAGCTTTATTGAACAGAGTATGATACCAGTCAGGATTACGTTTCAATAACAGATCTGTCTATCTTTTTAAGACAGATTTAATTGTAAAACTCATTCATCATCTTCGATATGAGCAAAATTAAACGAAGTGTCGTTAATATTAAAAAGAATCTCAAAATAGTCCCTTACTAGTCAACTGGGAAGACTATACTGAATTATTTTTTTTCATAATATTTCTTGAATACGTCAGAC